TGCCCCTGCGTGCGCGCCAGCCAGGCCGCAGGTGACGGCTGGGGGCAGCGGCGCAAAAGCCTGACTCCTGCCTTGAGCCTACATGAACCCCACTGTGTTTTGAGAAACTCAAGGCCAGAACAGAAGACAAGGAGGAAGGCCGCCTCACGGCAGCCTCCAAACGCCTTCACTGTCCAAGGCCAGTCCAGAGCACCTCTAGACCTGCTCCACACCGCTGTTCTCACACAGGTATATCCACACCTGTCGCTCAGAGCACACACACATTCACACACGTGGGTCAGCCCGGCCCAGCCATCCCTCCCTGCATCCCACGAGCGCTGCGCTCTGTGGTGTTCAGAAGAGTTGCCTGGGCTCACATGATAGCAGCACTAGAACCTTCCTGTCCAGAAGTTCGAGAGTGCTGAGGACAGGGCTGGTCTGGGCTGAGCTACTGTCACAAATACCAAGAACTCGCTGTACTCCTTTCTCTCTCTTAAATCACCTTCTTTTGTCTGGGGAAAACAAGAGTCAAAGATTTCTCCCTTTGAGGAAAACTACCTACCGGTTGCAACCTGAGACCTGCAGTGGTTGCTGATGGGAGGAGGTCGCCCTCTGCTGGCTATATTAGTCTCCAGTTCTCCACAGAAACCAAATCTAGCTTGTGTGAGTGCGCATGCGTGTATGGGCGCCTGCCTGCGCGTGCGCGCGCGCGTGTGTGCGTGCGTGTGTGTGCGTGCCTGTGTGTGTCTGTGTGTGTGTGTCTGAAGGCTGGCAGCCTCCAGACTCAGGAAAAGCTGAAAGTCTCAGCTTCCATGCTTCACCTCCTTGAGCCTCAGCTGCTTTATCTGTGAAACGGGTGATGATAATCATGTGAGATGCGATACTAACAATCCCTGCCCAAGAGTCAATCCTGTGTAAGCAACAAGGTCTTCCAGAAACACAGCACCTGGGAGCTGCAGGTCGCTCTCCCTGGCATGATCTGTGTGTGCTGACCAGCAAGAAAGAATTGGCAGTGGCCGAGGAAATGAGCAGAACTTAGATCACAGTAACAATGGGCAAGTTGATGTGGACGTCCTCGTCAGTCCTGAGCTGAGAGCGGGGATCTGAGGAGGCAACGCGCACCAGAGGCTCTAAAAGGGGAGGTGACTGCTGAAAAGGGGGAGTCTACAAAAGGGAACATGTGCCTCTATCGCTTCAAGCCCCAGAGCAAAAGTCACCCAGAAACTCCCCGATGTCCTGTCATCCAAACTGGATTCTGTGTTTTGGGGCACCCCTGTCAGCAGTCACTTTCCCTCGGGGGCCCACTTGGCTCCAGATCTTTGCTTGAAAGTCATGTCCACAGACTGGCCTTGTCTGAGTGGCCTGTCCGAGCCCCCATCTGGGTCGTGCTCCCCTCCCTGAGGGGCTGTGTCCCAGTGAGTGCTCCAGAAGCATTTGCTGAGTGGATGAAGAAATAAGCGCAAGAGACAGGAGAAAATCTAATGAGATACATACATACATACATACATACATATATATATTTTAAAGCCTGGCGTGAATCCCAAAGGATAATGTTAAGGAGCTAAAGCTGAAAATGGAGCGAAGGTTTGAAAATACTGCTGATAAGCAAAAGGCATAAAGTCAGAGCCAAAGGGCGAAGGAGCAGTTCTTGGCCTCTTTCCTTGGTGTTTTCTTCCTGCAAGAAGGTTGATCCTTCTGCAAAAAAAAAAAAAAAAAAAAAAAGCATATAAATGTTTAGCCATATCTTGAAGGTCAAGTTAGAATTTGCCTAGGGACCCCATGGCACAATGGCTGCCATGAGGTGCCATAGGGACCCAGCTGGCAAAGGAGGCTGTTCAACTCCAAGGCAGTGGGTCTTAATGTTTTCGGGCTATGGACTCTCAACAAATCGATGATGGTTGTGCAGATGCGGAGTGGACTGAGTCACCACTCAGCTGTGTGGAAGCCACAGGCCCCCTGAGGGGGAAATCCCGCCCTGTCAAACCTGGCAAGGGTGTAAAACAAACGCAGCACAATAACAATTGAAAAATACGCCAAAACTAAAGTTGCTCACAGACCTAGAGAAACTGGGTGCCTCGTTTCGGATTAAACAGCCTCAGGACGACTGGGGGGCCCTGCAGAGTCAAGGGTGCCTGGGTCCATATCCCTGCTTTCAAAGTTACCCCCCCAGGCATTGTCCCCATTGTGCTCCAAGGCCTGGAAGATTCTGCTTGAGCAACTGACTGGAGCTTTGGCTTCTCTGTCCAGGGCCCCACCTACTGGCAAGGGCGTGCCACTGCAGCCGCGGGAGTCCAGCTCCAGGAGCCCCTCGCTCAGAAGCACCCAGAAAGCAGCGTTGTGGAAGGAGGAAGGGGCTGCTGTTCATAAGAAGATAAGAGCCGGATTTGAGGAAGTGGGCGGCGCCTGCTGCGAGCAGGAGGGGCGGGTTGGCTCTCCACACGCCTTGCCCGCCCACGAGCCCTAAACATCCCCTCTGTTAGCTCCTTTAGACAAGACCACCTGTTCCTAGGTGAGGAAACTGAGGCGTGGGACCTCCGAGGCCACGGCTGCGCAGTAAGAGGGTCAGTATTGAACCAGGTGGGACTGAGCGAGACACTGCCTTGGGAAGCTGGTACTGCGAGTCCCCGTGGGACAGATGGGCCAGCGAGCGGCCAGGGCATATCATGTGGCAGCTTCAGAGAGGGGCAAGGAAGGGCGGACTGGAGTGACACTGGGGGAGTGTGGGGGACATGTGTCCAGGTAAGCAGGAGAAAGGAAGTGAGACTGTCCTGGGGCCCGCAGGCCCAGCTCTGGGAAGAAAAGGAGGAAGGGCCATGGCTAACAGGGGGCTTGGAGGAGAAGACTCCGGTCAGCAGAGGAAAGTGAGCGAGCTGTGCCCACTTCTAGATCAATCCAGTTCCCATGGTGATGTCTGCGGGTTTGGGGACCGCCGATGGAGGTCTGAGTCACCAAATGCGTCTGCCATGTCACAAGCTGCCAGGCTGGGGTGGGTCGCTGCCTCACACCTGCGATCGATGCAGAACATGGCTCTTTGCTGCGCAGTCTGAGAGCAGCACGCCGGCCACAGCAGCTCCTGTAGGACCCAGCCCAAGGGCACAGAGGGCTCAGACAGGCGCGGGGCTGCTCTGGCCGGAGCCGGAGCCGGGAATCGTCGCGGCTTGCGTCTCTGCAGGCGGGCGAGCAAGTGTTCTCTGGGCGCATCACCCCCTTGAGCTCGCGGCCTCCATGCCAGCATGTGAGAGGGTGAGCAAAGAATTCAAAAGCTGGCAGGGAGTGAGGGGCGCAGGAGAGGCCGCAGGAGGGCGTGTGCTTCCCTGGCCTCAGGCCCCTCCAGTGTGGGTCATCACCCCGGCAGTAAGGACAGGTGCCCCCTCCTTCAGATGCCTCCACTGAGAGCTGCATCCCCTGGCTGCATCCTGTCGCTGCTGGCCTTCATGGGGTCGCATGCTACTTGCCACTCTCTTCTGCCTGCCATCCACCGAGGTCTCTGACTTTCATGACAAGAACATCAATGAGATGAAAGTGTCCCCAGGGTGACAGCTGACAGTGAACAGGGAGCACGTCTTTCAAAAGGATGTGTGTGCCTTGGGAGAAAACAGTGTGACGGCAGTTACGCTCCCAGGAAATGCTGTCACCTCGGGTCAGCACCTTGCGATGACCCTGGGGACAGGCATCACAAAAGCTTCACAGACTTGCCCTGAAAAAGCCGGGCTGACCATTCTGCAGGAATGCAAGTGACAGGGGTCATTTCTGAACGCGCCCTTCTGGGACACCATGAGGCCAGGCCCTTCCCTCGGCTCTGCCTGGATCGCTATGCTCAGCGCGGCTCTTGGCCTCTCGCAGCCAGCGCTCCCGAGGCACCTGCAGTAGCTTGCCCGTGAGAACCAGGTCTGCGGCTGCGCTGGGCTCTCCCTCCACTGAGACTCACCTGGGAAGCCCCAAGTCCTCCAGGAGGCCAGTGCAGATGAGGCCCAGGCTGGCACACTTTGACATGACCCCGCATGGGGCTGCCCCAGGACACAGGCTGTCCAAGGGGGTGCTGAATCCCAGATCAAAATGTATCAACAGGAGAAAATCTAAGTAGTCTGGTTAGACTAAGAATGTCATCGTTGACCTGAAATTCAAGTTGCACTATGTGTCTGATTTGGTTTTACTCTATCAGGCAACTGTATGCCCCAGAAGTTAGGTACCTGCCCTGCTCTGGCCATGTTCTCCACTCCCCTCAGTCTTCCCCCCACCCCTGACACCTCAATGCCATGTGCCAGGACCTCTGTCGCGGGGCATCCCAGGCAGGGCCAGGAGGGGCCTGAACAAGGCCACTCAGTCCAGGCACAGGCACGGAGCTGGGCTCAGCCCGCTGTAGCACAGCCGCCTGCTCAGCGCGGCCCAAGCACCAAGGGCCATGGGAGGACTCTTTGGACCTGACCCTTTGCTCAAACTCCTCTCACGGCTTCCTCTGCTCAGCTGGCAAGGAAATGCCCCTGGTTTTAGGAACCAAAGGGTCCCAGGCAAGATGCGATCCCCAGCAGTAGAGGAGGGTCCCAGGGCCCCCCACCCCGGGCGGCAGCTGCCGCGCCGCCCCGACACGGCAGTCCAGGACAGGGCGCAGCAGGCCGCGCTCAAAGTAAGAAAGACTTTATTTCAACACGAAACAAGTGGCACAAAGACACGACCAAGTGCAAGGGAAACGATTCACGGGCTTTATAAAAAGGAAACTGCACTCGGGTGTCGGGGGACTGGAAGCATGAAGAGGGCCCAGCCTGTGGCGACGGGGCACGTGCTCATCTGAGAAGCCTTGTGTGCTCGCGCGACACGGGATGTGGAGCCAGAGTGAGCCACGTGACGCAAGCAGCAGGTGGCTGAAAGCCCTGAGGCCTTCTTCTGCACTCTAGTGTGCGCTCCTGGCGCGGGGTGCGGGCCTCAGCAGAGGGCCTCCACCATCGAGCGCTTCCTCAGGCCTAAAACACATCGAGGTCAGTGGGAGTTGCACAGCGCGGTTGGTGGGGGACAGTTTGTGTCCCAAAGCCAGGTTTACACAGCGGCAGGCTCGACACGCAGGCGCATGGCTCGCGGCAGAAGGCGGCGCCTGGCTAGTAGAGGCTGGTCTTCTTCATGATGCGCAGGAACTCCTGCTCGCTCACCTCTCCGTCTCCATCACGATCCGCCTCGTCGATCATTTCCTGTGCAGCAGCAAGGGCTCAAGTTAGCTTCATCCATCATCAGAGCTGAGTGTGGCTAAGCCGCAGCTCACGGTGCAGTGTAACCAACATAGCCCGGCTGGGGTGAGCAGCTGGGAAGCAACTTGAAACCAAGCTGCGGTGGCCACGGGAGGGGGGTGCTGCCTGACTGGTCCTGCCACCGCAGCGCCAGGCAGGTCACACGCATGTGCATGTGGGCACCAGGCCGCTAGCTGGCCACACAGCCACAAGGAAACGGAGTGGTCAGCAGTCAGCAGAGGGTGAGCGCCCTGCTTCCCCGGGCAGCAGCCTGCTCATCAGGAAAAGCACGCCTCAGAGGGGACGTGCTGCAGCCCGCGCCGCTCACCTGCAGCTCCTCGTCCGTGAGGTTCTCGCCCAGCTCCTTGGCCACGCGCTTCAGATTCTTGAAAGAGATCTTCCCAGTTTCGTCATCATCGAACAGCTTGAAAGCCTTCAGGATTTCTTCTTTGGTATCTTTCTCAGACTTAACAAGTGGCACAGAAAACACGCGAGGAGGAACCCCGGTTACTCTTGTCCTGCAGCCGCCCCCCCCAAGTCACCCCTAGGCCACTCGTGCTCTCACGCTGGCCGGTGACAAGGGTCGAGGTCACAGGAGAGCAGGCATCACCCAGGGTAGGAAAGGAGGCCAAGCCGAGACTGGAGCGGGGGCACAGAGGCTAGCGCGGCACACACCAGATTAGATTTCACTTCCAAGTAAAGGCCCAGGGAGTAACGTGAGGGCAGGTGTGCTGCTTAAGCCGGTGGAAGAGGGGTCCCCCATGGTGTGGGGACCTTGGCGCAGGGGGAGAGAGGTGCGCCCGCGCTACATCTCAGAGGGCTGCAGCACCCCAACTCAGTGCAGCCCTGGCAGCTGGGTTCTCTGCTTGGGAACGCAGGGCCGACTTCAGCTCCGGTGGCAGAGGCCTCCCGGCAGAGGGCCGCTCTCGGCCAGCACGCCGCCCTGCTGCCCACCAAGGCCTTTCTTTTATGGAGCTTGGTGGATTCTAATCACTGGCCACTGTGCTACTTGGCTCTCCCTCTTCCTGTGCGTTATGTTTATTTATGTTTCAAATTTACCAAGAGTGAACCCGGTGGCCTCACAGGCTCCCAGCCCCGACCTCAGGGAAAATGGGGCCCTAGGTGACTGGGCGCACGCACACAAGTCCCCTCTCTCCCACCCCATTGCGACTTCCCTGTGTGACCCCAGGAATGCTGAGTAATTTCCAGGTGCTCTGGGCGATGAACCCATTTTGAGAAAGCTGCCATGGCTATGCCAAAGGGCACCTTGTGATCATCAGGAGAAGTACAAATCTGTCCAGCCACAACACCGGTATGGACAGGTTGCACAGGATACAGTGCACGAGTACTCTAACAGGGAGAGACAAAACTCGCTGAGAACTCACATGCTGAGAAGGAGGTAAAGCTCCAGAGAACCCCTACTAAGAACAAACTGGGGACAAGCCCCTGAATGTGGGCACATGAGCTGGTTTCGAATGTGAAGCTTCTGCTCACCTAGTCCACCAAGACAAACACACGTGTGGTGACTGAACCAACAGCTCTGAGGAGGAGTGGAGAGATATGGCCTGGTCCTAGGAACACACCCGAGCCCCGAGCCACTGCCCTCGGTCTGTGCCACCAAGACAAACACACGTGTGGTGACTGAA